TTTAACTTCCTGGGCTCGACCAGAGCGGTTGACCCTAAATCAGGTCAGTCCCTGTGGCAGTCCTCTGTGCCCCTCAGATTCGGTCCTGTAACTGTTCTGTGCTTTTACAGCTGCTTCCATTACATCGGACTTTTTATTTTCCCAGTCTGGACTAAATATCTCCCATTAGTCCCAGCTCCCCTCCCTCCTCCCTCTTTTTCTCGGTTGCAGCAGAAGTGTATAATATATGGAGGTGTGTGAGTGCTCCACTTCAGTAGGGGGTCAGCTCCCTGGCATCCAGATGTGGAGCAGGCTAATTGTAACACAGCCATTGTTTTGTGGACCAAATACAAGCTTTGTAAATGAATGGTCAAAAATGGAATAAACAACAACTAGCAATGTTGTAAAATTATTGCTGATTAAAAAATATTGCTTGCAGTATATTCACTGGAATTTAAGTAAAAAATTGAAACTTAACCATAATGGAAAAAAAATTATTTAACTTGATTTATTTGGATGAATAGTTAACCAAAATGTAGACTTGGGCAAACAGGTCTTGCAGGAGCGCACATTTATAAAGATAAAAGGATTGGTACTTCAAATGTAAATCATTTTTGAGCAATCAGTTTAAATTTTTAAGACACCAGACCAGCTAAGTTGAATGAGTCAAGATATACAACCCCCAGTGAATGTAAAACAATTACAGACAAATATTCACATTTTGCTCTGACTCATTCTAGAGTTTTGTTGAATTTCTCTCACTCTTGCCTTGGACATATTTAATAGCACAGACATGATAATTCAAACCCACACTACAAAAATTATATTTTGAGAAATGGGAAGTGAATTTAAGGGAGGCCAAATCTCCCTTTCGTGTTCTCTGCTCTCTGCAGCCGTTTTCCATTATCAGTGCCCAAACTAGCTTGTTAAAAAGAGTGAAACTCTAACCACAGTTTTCAAAATTACAGAATTCCTCCATAAATGGCCAACCCTCCCTGTGGCAATATATACGCTGGGTTCAGACTTGAGGTGAGACCGCCATACCATTACCATAAGCACACATATGTACACCATATTCTGCATGGATATTATAAACAACAACATAAAACATAGAGAGTGCTGTCAAATCAAAATTACCAGACAACACGCAAGTCGAAAACCTCATACACTCATTCTACCTGATAACATATGGCACATCTAAGTTATACTCTTTTATATTAACCTTGCCAAAATATAAATAATATCTTTAAATATTAAGCAATGAATCCAAATAAAAATTCTAAGTCAGACTGACAAAGGTCTTATCTGTAAACATAATATTTCAATATAACATAAATAACTTGAAAGTGAAAAGTACTCCCCACAATTTTCTGAAATTGTAAGTCCTATTCCTGCAAAAGAGTTACATTTAAAAAAAAAAAAAAAAAAGTTTCTTCTTTCCTTTTTTTTTTTTTTTTTTTGGCCAGTTCACTTTTGGACTACATTTTAATGGGTTTGGGGATGGTAGAGATAATAAGCAACTTTTCTCATTTTAGCGACAGCTGGCATTTAATTTCCCTGGTGTGCACAGTGTCCACATGCCTGCCAATGGGTAATTACCTGAGATAGTGCCACAAATAAGACTAATAAACTGTCCCACCGAAACAACTGTTTAGACAAAGCTTGGTAGGCCACATTCACTCTGCTTTTAGTTGTTGACAGAGCCGAGATACTTTTGATACCAGGTTGGGGAGTAAGAATGGTACAAGATCAAACCACAAATGTCTCACACATAGGCATAGCACCACTCAGTTGCAAAAGACTAATTCTATGTTTTCTCTTGGAGGGAAATTGGTGCAATTTTGGGCATAATTGTTTCAAAACTACTGGCTAATTATGACCTTTTGAAAACAAAGCTTACAGATTCAATGTGACATTTCGCTGCGCCTGCAAAATATAAATGCCCCCTCGCACTGACTGAAGCTGGGTAAAACTTTAATAATGAAAACAAGCATGCCCCAACAGAGAGCAGAGCTATTCATGGAGCACCACTCTCTGACCTTCATTATGCTTAAAGAAAACAGAGCTAAACACAGACAGAAGCAAATGAAAACAAAAGCGCTTTCTTACAGTGCCTCCAGGGGCCACCAGGTGTCACCGAATGGACTGACTATGGATTTTACAGCAGGACTTTTTCAACCCAACTCTAACCCTATGGGAAATCATTACTGCTCCGGCACCATAATGAAAAGCATGATGAGTGAGTGACCCCTGAAAAATCCCTTTAAAAGACTTAACAGGTTTCAGAGCCAAGGCATTCAATGCTTTGACCTTTCCAACTGTTTCCTGTCCCTTTAATTGGCTGTGGTTTAAATCAGAATGCTTTTGTCTAATTAAAAAGTGCAAAATGTCTTTGTTGACTAACTGTGCTTACAATTTCAATTGAAAAATATAGAAATTAAGAAATCAAATTCTCATCAGAACAGTTTTGTCATTTTTTTTCTTCTATGAAGCGGGTAAGGGGGGTAAGGGGTCCCATGAGGTGCTCTTGGTATTTATGGCATGTACCCCCCACCCCTTCCCATGTTTACATATTTACTTGGCTCCCTGTGACAATTTATAATCCTCTATAAGCATTCTATTTTAGCCTCATTTTGCATACTTGTGATTGCCATTTGCTCATTTTGGGTTGTGTGTCGGTCATAGAGGTACTGGTGACCCAAAGTGAAGAAATTTTTTAAACAGCTTTTTTGAGCGGTACAAGTTTGAAGTTTCTCAAAGTGCTACAGGCCATTATTTATTTCATCTGAGCACCACCATCACTTACATAAACACAACATCCACTGCAGCATTGGTTACAGTTTCTGCACTGGAAAGGACATTTTAAACACTGTTATTTCCAGGAAAGAACCATTCATGTTTTTCAGTCTCTTGATTACCAATTAGACTATCACTAACAAGTTACCCAATTGTGATTATCAAATAAGACACTTTTGTTTCAATAAGTTGAGAAACTGAGTAGTTAGTTATGTGTGTGATTTGACAGATGCTGCTTAGTGCCTCTGGATTAAGATTGCAAATGAAATAGATTACGCTGATCTTTTTCCCTGCTTCCTTTATACTTTGCTACCCTCTACTGGCACACACCTCAATTGTTCACGTTTTGGTTTGAGGGTAGGTGTTTTTTCCATAAGTCTTAGGAGTCATACGTCTGAATGCTGGGAAATGTGCAGCTTGCCTTTTGCTGGCCACGGAGGCTCCTGTCAAAATCAGGGGAGGTTGGACAAGCAGAACTAAAACACAGCGGTTAAAGCCATAGAACTGGATCTCAGCCATAGACAATACTCTGCTATTCCTCACACTTCACCACCAGTCAACTCTACTTAAAGGGGCACTATGTAACTTTACTGGTGGAGCGTCCGCCACCTTGTTCTCTCCATGGAGTTATAAATTTGCTTAAAATGTTACACAGTATCACATTAAACCTATCTATCTTGAACTTATTAAATTACTGATTACTGAAATTACTGGGGAAAAAAACGAAAAAAAAAAAAAAAAAACAGATCTCTCCACAGGTTGGCTAATTGGCTTGGTAATGTCATCTTTATTGTTTATTGGTAGATTTTGGAAAAGAAAAGAGAAAAGAGGTCTACAGACCGAGACCTACTTTTGGTTAACAATTAATTCTATAAAGGCTAACGTGATGTTTACAAGACATATAATAGTCCTATTTCTCTCTCTCTGTTTTTTTTTTTTTTTTTTTTTTTTTTTAACAAGGTACGTTCCAAAACTTTAAAGGTATAATAAAAACAACCAAAAAGTCTCTTTCTGACAGATGGTTGTGGTAAAAACTAAATTAGCCTTGGAGAATAATGTAATTTCAAGAGTAATGTCAGCGTCTTGGATAGAGAATTGTGCTAAATTACAGACTTAAATTACCTTATTCAGAGAAACGTTGAACTTTTGCATCATCAGCAGCAGCAGATGGCGCTGTTAGTGAGGAAATCTGGGCTAAGACGTCGTGCCTGAGACATACAGGTAGATCTATTTTACTGTATCATCAAATATCGTCAGTATTTTCACCTTAATTATAGGCCTATTTTGGTATATTTCAGTCAGACCACTGCAACGAAAATCTTAAGAACAAAAAACAACAACAACAAAAATAAAATACACACAAACACATTTTAACCTGGTCTGTGCCGAGTGTCCTTTATTTATGTAACCTATGTTTAAGCTTCTTTTAATTGCTAACTATTTTTTATTCTTTGCGCTGAAGCCTGCATCCTTAAGAGGTGAGAAATGGGTGAAATGTTGCAAGAGCGACACAGGGTGGCAGTGTTGATTCACATCTGATCCGATCAGATCCTCAAACCGTCTCCAGCAAAGATGTATTCGCTTACACTTTATTGTAAGAAGTAAATAAGTCAACTCCGAATCAACCGATATGCTGCGTATCAGATTATTCTGAGGAGACTAAACCTGTGAGTGAAATTATTTGGATTGTAGTTTTGAGCAGTTAATTAAATCAGAGTAAGTAACGCATATCTCCTATTCTGGTGCACAAGCCTACTTTCAATACAGCAACCGCTAATACTGTATTTATTTTTTCATTAATTATATCGAATAATCTATGTAACGTGTATAATTAATAAATGTGATAAATCTGTAAATCTGAGCTCCCCAAAGCGCCCCACATTTGTCCAGCACCATTCTGCTTTCTGATTGGCTGCCTGGTTGATTGGCCTGTGCTCTGATTGGCGGAAAGTTTCTTGCTGAGACTGACCGTCCTCGGAGTTTACTTTCTCGCCTGCGGCTCAAGTTTGGACTGTGGACCGCTGCTGGAGGCAAAGTGGACAACCCCTGGGCTTACTTCCATGCCTGTGCTGTCCGAAAATTTTACGTAATGCGTGTAAAGGGTAGATAAAACTATTGTCTTGTGTTGATCTTCTCTCTCGGAGTGGTAAGCGGACTGTCATTCAGAAATCTACTACGGCGCTCACGTGTTTGACCTATCCGTTTTATTTCACTTTATACGCTGGATTTTCTTGCTTATGTTCTCTTTTGTATATATTTTTTCCTGTTGATTTTACTCGAGTAATTGTTTTGCTTGGGCGAGAGACGCGCGTTTATGTAATTTGTGATCTATTTAGCGTTTAATTCGTAAAATAAGTTTAGGGAAATAAAGTTAGGGCAAAGGAGGAGGACGTGTGGTGGACCTTCACGGCATGGTGCATGTGGTCAACTGGTGAAGAACTTCAAATTTGTCATCATTGCTGGAAATATAAGGTAAACTTTATTAGTGTAACTTCACTAAGTAGTCTAAGTGAACTTTTTAATTGATCAAACTAGGTGTTTTTGTTTTTATTAATTTATGCTGCATTAATTAAGTGTTACAACTACAATTATGTGAGAATAAGCAAATAGTATGTTGTTATACATTACTAACATAAGCGACTCATTATTATTTTCTTGTCTTTTTGCTTTAGTTTGTTTATTTGATAGATTTTTTTGACGAACATCTTTCACTTACAGCTCAACTATACCAGAATATAGCAAAAATATTTTTTTCCATCCATGTTGTGATTTATTTGCAACAGTTTACAACAAAGAATTCATAATAAAGAAGAACGTGTCTAAACGAAATTGTAATATCACTTCTGAGGAGAGGTGGATGTAGTTCAAAGATACAGAACAAGCAGTGACGATGTAAGTTATGGTCCTGAGGATAACTGATGAGACAGAAAGATTAAAACCACTGTAAGCATTGGCATTCTGGCAGGTGGTCAGAATAAATCTATTAGAATAATAGTAGATCCAGTCTCTGCTTAGATTATAAAGGAATTCACACTCAGGTTCAAGTACTGATCCATGTCTTTTGTAATATGTTTCTGAAGCCATGAGTGCCCTAGTTAAATTTTTATTGTGTGCCATGTGTAGGGTTTGTGTCATTTTTGGATGTTTCTCTTTGCATGATCTGGTATTATGGTTGATGATAACTATGAATGCTGGAAATTAGATTTTTTTGTAAATGTTGTGTTACTTTTCCTCTTTCACATTTCAGATTGAAGAGGCTGAGTGTTCTTCTTCGAGGGATCTAAAATGGACTTTCTTTGGGTCTTTCTTCTGGTGTTAGAGATGGTTCTGATGTCCAGTGCAGCTAGAGGTAATTTGCTCTTACCTGAATTCATTTTAACAGTACCTCAAAATACAAAGTAACACTATACAGGTATTTCTAATTTCTGGTGTACAATTGGTTGGTTTAACTGCTATATCTCTGTGCAAGAGAGTTTTTGATAACTCATGGTTCAGAGTCAAGTATAATAGATGCCTCATTCCATTATGAGACAAGGCTCAGGATGTGGCCTGTACAGTGGAGATGGGGACAGTTCCCAGCGTACAGCGCAACAGGCAGACAGTTGCAGAGTTGGCGCCCGTTCCCCAGATCACACCAATGATGAGTTTTCAGTGGGAACAAAGCTGCATTCAGTGAAGCGAGGCCAAACCAGCGCACAGACACACAGACACGGGGCAGAAAGTAAACATGGAGCCATAGACCGCAAAGAGATGAGATTAGATTAGCCTATTAGGGATGTTTGCTGTGCAGTGCCACAGCACTTCCTCCCCCCTCCTGTGTTCTGCAGTGAGGGTTCTGTGGGACCGGTGCAATGACAGGAGGTGGGCAGTGTTTGAAAAAGACACTAGTGAGAAAAACAAACAACAAGTTACAAATGATATGTTGGAATTCTGATGCAGAGGTTGGGCAATCAAGGGACATGTCTAATGGCCAATTGTCAGATTTTTTTTAAAATGATAGCTCACCTCATTTCAACCTGCAAAGTAGATTTTTAAATAAAATTGATTTCAATAATGACAGTAATAATATTAACAATAGTTATTTTGATTATATCTCAGTTACATCATGTGGTTATAAGGCACAGTTACATAAAGAATGCTCTGATAGAAGGTAAAGTTGTGGACAGAGAATAGCAGTGAGGCCAAGAGTGCCTTACACAATACAATGAAACCCAGTGGCTTGGTTTTAAATCCGTATTGAATTTCTAAAAGGCATAGGCAGACATTTTTGTTGTCTGTTTTATATCAGTTGAATGAATTATATGTGTAGATTATACAGAAACAGCTGGAAGTTATCTGAGTACAGTGGCTGCCATGTCATTGTTATTTTGTGGTTTTGATCTGTCATCTTTGACTGTTGATTGCTGAGCAATTGTTTGCTCATTGAATAATATAGCCTACCTTCTATCTGCGTATGATTAGATTGATAGATGCTGTTCAGTTAGTGCCCAGGGGGCATATGCAGGGTATTACATATCATTTCAGCTCAACAAAATTAATCCATCCATTTATCCAGTGCATTTTAATGAAGTAATGATAGATAATACTAAAAATAATAGACCACTATTATTGACATTTTACTTAACTTTATTCAAACAATATTTATATAAAACAATAGACTGAAAAATTGACTGTTTTCATTGGCTTCAACCATTTTCCACTTCACTTGAACTGCCTTAGAGTACAATTAATATTAGTGTGGAGACTACTGTGCTGTTCCAGGGAAAATAATGTTAACTGAAGGTGGGCTTGCCGTGGCAACTGCCGAAACAAAGAACAATAATAAGCCTAAGGCCATAAGGACACTTGAGGACATTTATGCATCGAAAGCAATCGAAAACATACAGTTATTCTATTGACCTATTTACTTTTGATTGATAGCCTTATAGTCTGACTTTACTTGCACTGTGCCTTTTTGAATCTTAACTAAAGTATGTTATAATATTCTAGTTCAATTATTTATGATTTAAGTATATTTTCAACAGTTTTATTTTTGCATATTGTCTATTTTGTTCTTTCTCTTCTTGTACTTTGTATTGCAACATTACAATTTTCACATTGCTGGACTATTAAAGGTTCTCTAATAAGTATAACACTGTAAGAAAATTAAAATATTATACAGAGATATGAAGAACTCCACTGCAAATGCTTACGCAATCCCAGTGTTGAATGAGTGTCTGGCTTCTGTGTGTCTGTCTGTGTATGTTGGGGCATGAGACAGAGCAGCTGATAGACTAGCATTCTTCACTGTACAGCACAGAGCTCAAAACTGAAGGTCAACATAGGACTATTTTAGTTTACTGTTTCAAGAGTTAATGCAAGTTAGCCACCCGCAAAGTTTGAAAAAATACCATCTGGACCATATACTATGCATGTGTCCACTGTTCAGTTAATCTGGGCAGGCCTAACTAAATCTTGTGAAACTTATCATGTGATAAATTTAGTCTAGTTGTGATAATCCTTTTAGTATTGCTGGTGATAAAACCAATACTAACATTTCAGTTGTGTACAGGTTAATTGGAGCATGTGACGGTTAAGCATGTGTGTATCAGATGCTATAGAACGAATGGCAAAGCGGCAATCTGTATTTTGTTGGAATGAGTCGTATTTACTCTGATGGGTCTTTGTTGTTTTTTCCAAGATGCTGATGTAGGTTCCCTTGTTTATTCAGAGAGGGGTGATGCGCACAGGTTTGCCTTTGTGGTTCCATGATACAGTTCTTCCTAAACATTATAATGCCTTCCAGGTGATCGCGCTATAGACCACCCAATATCAGAACAAAGCAGGAGGAACAGTGAAGAAGTTCAACAGTGCTACAAATTGTATATGTGCAAAGTAGGCATAAACAAACATACACTGAGATGCTAAACTTATAGCGGTCAGAAATACTCTCCATAAAATGTTTTAACAGATGTAGACACAGAGACACGCACCACAGCTTTTTAGCACCCTCCTGTCTCACATTCTCATAACCAGGGAATGTAATTAGCAAACTAGTGCTAACTGATAGTTAGGGATGTAGTTGAGTTTTGGGGAAATTTGAGCTTTATAGTTGGATCACTTTTGCTATTTTTTATTGCAAGGAGTTAATGAACGCTTTATTAATATACCTGTGATGGTGAAATAGTGTGGATGCTAGAAGTTATCTGTGCCAAATGTACCAAATGTTAAATGAATGGGCTGGTTGTAATTAGGAATGCCAAGATTATTCAATTACTCAATAATCATGATTGTTTAGGTCACAATATGATTGTAAGGATGAAATAATAATAATCATGCCATTGTTTTTGAAGCAAAAATGGTGATTTCAAGTCAAGCTGTACTAAAAACAGCTTTTTTTTTTATCATTCAGAAAGTTTGTTTTTATAAACCTGGTCACATAGTTGAGGAATGACAGTGTATTAGACAACAGTAATGAAAGAAACTGAAACATTTTACTAATGGTATAAGTAGTTTTTAACAATTTTAAAACTAATCAAAACACTAAAATATAATATTGTAATTGTGTCGCACGACTGAGATTTGCTGCTGCAGATGTAATATGAATTTAAAGTCTTTCCTTTCCAGCAGTGTATTTGCCCACACACTGAGCTCTAAATGAAAGCTGTCTCAGTTAAGCTCTGATTAACCATGTTATTACGCTGGGAAATCCATAACATTGTGGTGGCTGTGGCAGAAGAAGCTGGGCTTATTCGAAGACTGCAGGGGCTTAGGTGGAGAATGAGCGCATCTCAAGTCCTTGTAGAATAAACTCATGCATACCACAGACAGATGCTCAAACACACAAGTTTACCTCATTGTAAATAGGCAGAGATCGCTCAAGCGCTGTTGCTGCTGCTATGTGTTCTGAGTCACAGCTAGGTGTCGTAAATGCCATTTGACATGCCGATAACCATTATACGACCCATGGGGAGAAGGGCCGGGCCACTGACTGTCACCCAGAAAGAATAGAGGTCAGCCTTGCCCATATTTGTTTTAGCACTGGGGCTCTCTAAAGCTTCTCCAACAGTCTCATATTAATAGAATATATTTGACTTCAGAAATCTGTCTACAAAATGTTTCCTTTTTGATGCCAGTCTTAATAGAGCTAAAGGGATGTTTAAAAAAGATCTTCCCAAAGCCTGGAAGACACCCCTACTAATGCAGGTGTAAAACAAGAACAAACCATGACAAAGCAGATCTAAATTAGGCCTAAAACAAGTCTCAAATATGTGATCCTAAAGTGAAAGCCTCAACTAAAAAAGGACTAGAAACAGATCAAGAAAGTACCAATACCACACTAACACACACTACTCTGTTTAGACTTCTGTAAACAGTGTATATTTTGTCCCATAAGCTCATAGCCCTGTCTTTGAGACAAGCCTTGCTCTGTCACCTCAAATGGTTTATGATGTTATAGAAGGTTTATATATTGTAATTACCCTCTGTTCTCCTTTTGTTCTTGAATAAAAGAGACAGAGCAGAGCTTGTGTGCTGCGTGTGTCCTGATTACACAGTGATTAAAACACAAAGAGGGGCTCCAAATGGAACAAATGACTCTGTTAGTTCCCCCTTGTTAAACCCTATTGTGTCCGAGCCAAATGTTGACTTGCTTGAATTAGTGGTTACCCAGAAGCAGACCATAACTGTCTCCCATCAACTAAAGTACATTTATAATCCTGACTAATTGTTTTGACAGTGTACAGACAGGTTATGTTGTATGTTAAGTGACAAGTGCTTTGTTTGCGTGTGACATCACCGCAGTGTTGTGTGACAAAATGCACCCAGTCTGACAGATGATGCAAGAGGTGGTTACTCCAGACCAAACTATACTCTGCTCTGACTTTTACAAGGCCTGTTAATGTTAGAAGCTATTAGGACACATTTAGATAAAGCCACTGTTTGCTTTGACTTTGCTAATGGTGGGGTAGTAATGGAGCTGTCTGGATGTCTTTGCCGTGGGGGATGTTGGTGTCACCATGATGTGAAATTTGGATTTGTGTGCAGGGGGCGAGGTGCAGGCTGTCTAGAGGAATGGTGGGAAAACAAAGTGGACAAAATTTATTGCATAAATTTTATCATGATGCAAAGGAATGATTTTAAAGGATCACTAATGTCACTTGGCATGTCACTCAGGATGTAACTTGTCAGTCTCCAAAGGGATGTTAATACTTTTCTTGGAATAGAACAGTATGGCATACTTTAATTGAAATTGCCACTAAATTTAAAAATACATTGAAAAGCACAAATTTACTCTTATCAGGGTTACTTCTTCACAAATGTGACCTGTAACTTATCTTGTCTCCATGGAGATAAATAACTTTAAGATCA